AATGCTCTAGTGAAATTTCTCGATGTTTACTATAACGATGTTGAGGCATGGCTCGAATTGGCATCACTATACCTGAGCCAGCATTTGTAGGTATTGATTTTTTTTTCTTTCGTCTTTTGAAAAGACATACGTGAATAAATGCGAATACAATTATTTGATACAGGTATCAACAAGGGACAGACCTACGATGCGATGTGGTTGGGTTGATAGTTAAAATTTTGTGTAACTAAGATTTCAAGCGTTATAATCGAAAAGCTCCTTAATGACAAAGTCAATTTTTTATGGGCTTACAAAACAGGGCGAACGAAAGTATACAATGCGGCCGCCAACAATATCATATTGCGTTTAATTAATATTAATGGATGTGAATAGATTAATTTTAATATAATGAAAACTATATCTCACAAATACAGGTTTTGGATATGGGCTGCTGATCGACCGATTACAAAAAAGCCCACCAATACATTGAAAAGAATTTAATAGCTTCTATCTGCAACTGGTGTTATATGGTTAAAGCTACGCCCACCATTGTTACATGTTTTACTTGTTGACAGATCTTACCAGCAGAGTTTCGCTACGTCCAAGAGTTGTTGACTTTTAAAGCATGCGTACTGCTTTGACGATCAATGAGATGTCTACTTAGGCAAGTATAATAAGTCATTGTTGCTGTTGCGAAAGTTTCTTTGTACTTCAGAGTTAAATTAATATCTACTTTTAAAATTCTCACTTGTTCTATTTTTTTTTCGCACTCTCTCGGCATACAGCGGCATCTAATACTGTACCTCTACTATTTATTGTTTGATATAGTTTATTGTTTCTATCTATTATTGTTATGATCATATTTATGAAACGTTTCCCGCGATGCAGGCATTCTTTGTGTACAAAATTTCGTTGATAGAATTTAAGGAGGAATTGAACAGGGCTAATATAAAAACCATTCAGAAGAGCCAGAAATTGTTTACTCGAATTTTGATAAAGCGCCAGAATTATTTGTTTCCCCATCTTTGCTATTATCCGTTATAATTTGGCTGTATTCATAATAATTCAACAAGTATTATTTGATTCTCGATCAATCTTTAAAATATACAATTATAGCTTTCTTTTTTTTATTAAACTATTTCAGACCGTTCTCAATATTCAGGATGCATTAAATCCCATTAAAAGCCAAATCTGAATAGGCAACTTAATAGTCTACTGAGACATACTAGTTTACATTATCAAACTCTATGTAAGCGTTTTGAACAACTTAATATACTAAAACAGCGGAATCTCTCAAATATCCGCATTATCCCTTATATCATGAGCATCTTATAAACCCGACCACTTATTCTTAACGCATGCGCATCATTTAATCTCCAATGACTTGCTGAGATCAGTCAATGAGATTGTAATAGACATTACCCCGTATTCGCAATGCACGTAAGTGCATTATTTGGCTTTATCGTTAACGACTTGTTGAGATCATTTAATGAACTGTCGTATTCTTCTAAATCAAGATACACGTTTCCCCTTGTCGGCTTGATCGTGATCAATCTTCAATGATTTATTTAGATCAATTAATGTACGGTCACACTGTTTCAACATGTAATATGTCTCACCCCTGGCTATTAATGTCCATTCATCATTCCAATGATTTGTTGAGATCGCTTAAGGAATTTTCGTATTGCTCAAGCTTACAATAAATATGCCCCCGCACGCTCAATGCATATTCAGCATTCGATTCAATTTCTAATGCTTTATTGGCATCACTTAACGCACACTCATGTTTGAGTTCACTATAAATGTATCCTCTTACAGACAGTACCCCGTACATCATCTAGTTCTACTTCCAATGCTTTGTTGACATTATTCAATGCATTGCCATGCTGTTCAAGCATTGTATAAACATAAGCACTTAAACTCAATGCCCACTCATCATTTGGTTCAATCTCTAACGATTTGCTGAGATCTTTCAGTGGATTTTCGTATTGTTTTAGATAAAAGTAGGCACATCTCCTTGCCACGCATCGTTTGGTTTAATTTCTAACGATTTGTTGAAATCATTCAGTGAATTGTCGTATTATTTTATATCACAATAGACACTTCCCCTTTGACGCAATGTCAGTGCATTATTTGGTTCAACCTCCAATGACTTGTTAAGATTTTTCATTCAATCTCTTATAAATGTTAGCACACAATGGTCGCTTATTGGGATTTTTATCCCAACAATCTGAATACAGACTAATAGTCAACCTCTTTAACAAATTGTTGATGCAAATCTTCTTCACAATCTCCATGTCTGTCTGGAAATAAAATTTTCACTGTAACAGTAGTGTCAGAGAAAATGTTAGATTTTTTGCCCAAGATGATCTTGGCAATGCCGCTTTCTGCTTTATCATTGCTTGTATACCACTCCAAATGCTCCATGGCCAATATGTAGAGCTAGTTTTATATCCTTTTCTGGACAGCAATAGATTGAACTTTCACGAATACTTGCCTCTAGCCATTCTTTATACACATTGTTAATAGTAAACGTAAGAGCAGGAAAGTAGAGATAACCGATAAGTGTGGCACAGTTTGCCGGATGCATTGTAACTAATTAAGCACTTTGACATCAGGACTATTAGATTGAAATTATTTTTGAGGGTATTAGACAATTTAATAAATGCTTTAGTGTAGAATTTATTCCCCGACTTGTAGGGCTTTGAAATTAACCCATTGAAGATAGAGAGGTTAAATTATAATCAGGGATGGCGTATACAAGATTGACTAGCATCGTGAGCATTAAAGTTAGCGTTTAAAGTCACTAACCCGTCGCTTATATATTTATCGGGAGTAGAGGTGTCAAAGACCTCGTTAAATCTCAAGGTTATATACGAACTCTCACCCTCGACACCCCCTTGATTACTCAAAAGTCTATCCTTATTAATTCATCAATACTAAATGTATCGTTAGATATATATATATTACTGTAGAGCTATTGTAGAGGTGTATGTAATGTCGCCTTTTACAAAAAACGCGTCTTTTTTAATTGATATTGGTATTATCGTCTGCTACAAAAAAAGGAAACGAAAGTTTCTTTATCCCACCACAATAAACAGCCTGAACTGTTCTATATCTTTGGAAAACTGCTTTTTGTTCCGTCAAAAAGGTTTCGTGTAGCGCGAAGTTTTGTTTTTTCTTTACAATGAAAACTTTTCTCATTAATATTAAATTAAAAGATGTCTTGCATTGTGTTATTGTATCACCATGATCACCAATTAAATGCAACATCGATTAGCGTTAAAATGCATTTTACACTGGTTTTACAATACGTCATTAAATGTACCGAGTTCTTTAAATTTAATAACTTTGCAATAACATCCGTTGAATTTGTAGCACTTGTTAGTATACCTCCAAAATCAATATAAATTTGTATGGCATTATTACAGGCTACTATTTTATTGTAATTTAAACATGCGAAAACGGAATAATTATTCGCAACCGTTTATTGTTACTTTCCTGCATGATCTAACCATTTTAAGTGATAAAGAGATTTCTATTTGCATATCGTACAGTATATTCGTATAATCTTGTAAAACTAACCAGGGCCTTAATGGAACGTATTAGCTATACGCATCAAACGTGAACCGTGGTTTATCAAAAGAAGGAAGACGCGCACATCAGATTGACAATGAAATTGTCTTGAACGTGCGTGCTGTAAAAAGAAATATCATCGATTGTACTTACTATTTCACTTTAACCGAACAGTCTTAGGTTTTGCAACAGATGACATAATCAAAGAACAGTTGCTTAGTCTTCTACTGGCATATTAGATACGTTCTCAAGCATTTCATGGAATTAAGAGTTTTCTTGTTTGTTATGGTCGTTAATAGGTATATGCTAATCCACCCTTCAACTTCATTAGATTCATTTATACGACATCACTGAAGTAAACACCGTTCTCTACAGTTACCGTTTCAGGTGCGTGCTCTTGACATATTGGTGACGTAAAATATATCAAACATATGTCTTATTTACTGATAAGTCGAATTATTGTTTATAATAATCAAATTTTATTGATTTGATAGTCATATTCCTAAAAAAGCTGTTGAACAACAAGAAAAAAGAAACGCGTACACGTAACATCAAATAATCGCAATCGAAAAACCGACAAAGGTATATGATTCTCGAATAGTTATCCTAGAACTATTACTAATGGATGCCAATAATAACTGAGACAACTATGGTCAAAATTTTCTCCCATCTCTCTATTTTTGCCTTAGTATTAGCAGAAAAATTGGGAGAAGTGGAAGAAGTGGAAGAAGTGGAAGAAGTGGGAGAAGTGGAAGAATTGGGAGGGGGGGAAGAATCGGGAGGAGTGGAAGAAGTGGAAGAAGTGGAAGAATTGGAAAGGGGAGAAGAATCGGGAGGAGTGGAAGAAGTGGAAGAAGTGGTCGTAGTGGTCGTAGTGGTCGTAGTGTTCGTAGCTGTAGTGGTCGTAGTGTTCGTAGCCGCAGTGGTCGTAGTGTTCGTAGCCGCAGTGGTCGTAGTGTTCGTAGCCGCAGTGGTCGTAGTGTTCGTAGCCGCAGTGG